CACATTATATCTATATCTATATATCTGTTGTTTACTGCAAGCCAATTTTCTGTTCCATTGATCAAGGAGGTACAGTATATTCTCATTCATCAGCTACAACTACAAAATAGACTTGCACAACTGCGTCACCTCTCATCATTCAGCTTATTACAAAAATGCCCTGATTTACCCTCAACTTCTGATCTGTTGAAGTTACAAAATACAAATAATTCGAAATAAGTCAGTTTCTTTAAGGAATATTAAGGAGTTATCTGTAGTTAAAGTTTCATGCAATAAAACTTTAAAAATAGAAATACACTCGGTAACAACTTAAATGTTTTCTCTAAACTAACAGTGAGGTCCAGGCCTGACTGGATACAAATTGCATACAGAGACAATAGGTCAGTGGATGATGCTGCTAATATTTGCCTCCACTATTTCCTGCAACATCTGGAATCTGCAGGAACATATGTGAGACTCCGTCTTGTTGATCTCAGCTCTGCACTCAACACAATCATCCCAGAAGTCATTTGCAATAAACAGTCTCATTTGAATGTTCCCCTGCCCACCTGCAAGTGGATCATCAACTTCCTGACAAACAGAAGGGAATATGTGTGGATCGGCTCTTATTTGTCAGACTGCTTATCTGTGACACAGATTTACATAGTGCTTTTCATTCCAATACACTTGTGCAATAAATCTGCAGTGTTTTAATCTCTGGGAGGTTTGCTTACAGTATTGGCTGTGGGACTACAGACAACCAAACGTGCTGATGGGCGAATGGCCTCCTCTGTGTCCCTTGAAAATGCAACTGCATGTATAAAACAATACTAAAAATACTGTGGCACTGCAAAAGGTGTTTAGGGCAAGATGTCAAATCTCTCCAGCATCCCTACGGTCGGATTTATTTCAATGAAAAAGCACCACCAAACAGTTTGGGGGTTTTGCATAGTTAATGTCAGAAATCTTTTGTAGGAGTCTGATTGTTTTTTAACAGCGAATGTACAATCGCGAAAGCACTGCTCTGTGAAACGCAGTGCCTTTCCCCTGCCTTAGTGGCACTCAGGGACGGCTCACTCACGCCCTGCCTGTCCCCTGCTGCCTCCGCAGTACATGCAGAAGAAGAACCCTCTCTATAATGAGGTGAAGGAGGAGACGGTGTGGTCCATGGAGCGCTTCAACGACTACGTTAATGAGAAGTTTCGGGCTGTCAGGGCTCTCCCCCAGGACTGGGTCCTCAGTGTTTTCACAGTGAGTTGCGTGCGAGAGCAAAGGTGGCTGGGCTTAATTAGCATGATGGGGTTTCCATTGGAAACCAGGTGTCCCAGAGAGGGGGGGTGAGGGGAGTAAGACACAGCAGCATCACAAGGGAGGTGACGCGCTCCCCTGTTGCCACAGTAACCGGCTTCACTACAGGAGCCGTATTTTCGAGATTAAAATGTTTACTAATAAACAAGAAGGCATTAAAAATGACTACTTGTCATAGGGGGTGAGAAGGTTGTGCTGACTGGTATCTTTGTGAATAGTTGTTCTTTTTGTGCTATGAAGCCAGATCTAAAAGTGCTATCGGACTTGCGTGTAAAAAACAGGGCTGTGTGCTGCTTATCTGCTGTTTTTATCCACCAGGCTGCATGCAAACCTTAGTCTCTGTGAGAGGCTGCATATCTTTCCTGCAGCACAGAAACACAAGTTACAAACACACGATTCTCAAAAGGCTTTAGAAGAAAGTCTGGAGCCACTAGAACTTTAAGCAATAACTTTGAACCAATAGATACACTCATCTGCCATAAATTACAGATTGCAGGTCTTGGATTCTCTATATCTCAAGAATCCTCATCCTGTAATTTCTTGTCGTCCCAAATTAGAAGCGAATGCAGCAGATCATGACACAGTGCTTCCTCGCAGTCAGACCCAAGCTGGAGCGGAAACTGGGGTACTTTGATCTCATCGGCTGTGACTTCATGATTGATGAGGACTTCAAGGTGAGGCCCATCGTGTTGGGACCCCCTAGCTCCTGCCTCCCTCACCTCTCAGTTTAGCAGAGGAGGCAGGGAGTCAGGGAAAGGCAGACGGTGTGGGATTAGCACAGGTCTGGCCAGGGAGATCAGCAAGCGAGACAGGCAGACTCGCAAATTACTGCTTCCTTTATCTTTAGAAACTGGGGCAGATACAGGCCCTGAACCCAGACAATCTTCCCAATATTCTGCTAAATACGGAAATGCATGTACACAGGACAACAGTTATACTATTTCGATTTCAACTCATGCAAACGTGAAAAAAAAAGATAAGTAAATTATATTGTTACGTTGTGAACCTGACCATAAATGCTTATATAAATGAATATGAACTGTCTGAGCAGATCTAATTCTGCTGTTTGCATACATCATGTTTAAGACAGCGAACACAAATCACTGTCTGGTTCATTAGACCGACAGTGTAACTCTGACCAGTGACATGGGCACAAAGTCGTCTTAAAAGGAATGCACTGATCACATGAACTAGCGATTGCATGTTCTTGTACAAACATATTTGCAGGAAAAGTCATGCCAAAAAGCTGTATGTTAACTCATAATCCCAGCTCCCTCTCTCTAAGAAGGGGCTGAATATGCTGGTCACCTTCACCAGAGAACATGGATGCTTTGAGCAGCGCGCTGTCAGTTTGGCTCGATTACAGCCAGGACTTTCCTCGAGACAGGTCTGGCCTCCTGCAGGGCAGTGTGCTGACTAATCCTCACACACCTCCGAGAGCTCCTTATGGGCCAGGCTTTGCTCAGAGGAGCCTCCTCATCACTCAGCTCAGCGCAATCGATCGCTTAGAATTGCATCACTCCCAAGATCAATTTTTATTACTGTTATTCCTTAAATTGAGAAACACCCAAAGGAAAAAAATAACACCCTTTTCTCAGTCAGTAAACAAAACACAGTAAAGACTTACTAATCTCAAAATCACTGACTGAGTCACCTAGGACTCATTGCGGTATGCCAGTTAGTCAGGTTTCGTTCCACAACAGGCTACACTGGTAAAAGCCTAAGGGGGGTGTCCGTTTATGTAGCATCAGTTGGTTGTCCGCCCTAATCCTGTTAATCCGTATTCTGTAACAGAGCTGCAGGAGACCAGTACAAAGATCGCCCTCTGTTTGCGCAGAACAAGCTCTACAGCCTCAGACCTCAGGTCTGGCAAACAACAAACACTCCGCCTTGGTAACAATCGGCATTACGCCCTGGAAAAAACTGTTGCTTAGCGATGTTAAAAAGCCCAAAGGTAAACACTGCATGGCATGCACCTCCGCAGTACCAGCCCTGGGACATAACCACATCCATATATTTAAATTCGCTTGAACACAACAACAACTGCCCACTGTCACGAGGGGCAGAGACACAACGAAAGCGGAAAGTTCCAGGAGAGGAGCTCCTATGGCAATAAAAGTGGGGTCTGAGTGACAACGTCAGTGACTTCTGCATATACAGTACTGTATGTCTCCTACAGCACCATCTTCAATCACAGTCTGGACCCCAAATCACTTCCTAGAGCAACAACAGCCCAACCCTGTTTGCCTTTTCCGGAGCCCATCCTGCCCCAGAACTGCAGAGTTTCTTCTGCGGAAGTGTCCCAAAGCCTTTGTGCTGCATCCTTCATGCAAGACATCAAACCGAGGTCCTGCTGTCAGTGACTCAGCAGCTGCGGTTGATCGTACAACTCTGCACTTCTGTTCTGTGTTCCTCTGGATAAAACCATCAGCTGTGTAACTTCTTTTTGCTTCTTAATCCAATAACTAGCATCAATACCTCCAGTAGGAAAGGAGGCGATGGAGAAGCGTGATCTTGCCTGCAGGGGGGTGAACTTTGTATTTCACAGACCTGGCAGGTTAGAAATAGCCATGACTGAATGCCAGTCCAGCATACAGCTTGGATCAGGGAGGCAAAACCCTGGAATGGGACACTGATTTGGGGGGGGGCTCTGATCTGTTGGAGTGAAGCACTGTTCTGATCTCTGTGCCTACAGGGCAAACTGCCAGGCTGGCAGGTTTAAAAGAAGGCAAGCCCAGACTCATCCCCACTCAGGTGAAGCAGGCCTTGTGGGAAGAGAGGCCCTGGTTGGGCTGCCATCAGCCCACTGCAATATTCAAGAAAAGTTATCTAATGAAACAAAGTAAACATTACTAATGGCTGTGCACAGCCTGTCTCAGTCCTCAACACTTGTACAGACAGAATCAAGTACCAGACTATGTTCACAGAGGGTCCCTCTCATCTGCACTTCTACAAAACTGCAGTTTGGTCTCTGGCATGTTGCTAACAGGGATGTTAATGAAGAGAAAAACTCATTATCTGCAGCTCTCTCTTATGCACAACAGGCACTAGAAATCAGATATCTGGTACATGTGTGCTGCACCAGAATAGAGTACCAGAATAATAAAAAGCCACCACTGCAGTTAAATCTTTAACTATTAAGCTGATCTCTGGAGGATCACTGACATCCGTGTCTAATTAAAATAATAAACCTTCCTGTAAAACACAACAGCAGCACAGGCCTTCTCTTCCGCGTGCATAACAAGCTCGGTTTCCCCCACTCCCCACCCTCCCTCGTTTGCCATGGCAGCACACTGTACACAGCAATCCAGCACGTCTTCAGGCCAGGGAGCTATTCGGACCACTGTGAGAGCTGCTGGTGGCGAAACACAACTGAAAAGGGCTGCAAACAGCAGCTCAAATTCACCTCCCAAGTGTGACCAGCTCCACTGAGCCCTTCAACACTTAGCAACCCAGCCAGGGGAAGACGCCTGCCTGAGAGGCTGCTGTAATGTTACCCTGCTAGCAGTGAAAGCTGGACCTGTGAGGACTGCGGCACGCTGCCGGTAATTCTGGAGAGTGTAACGGTAACTGTGGAGCATGACTCCCTCTGTTTGCAAACAAGCAATCAGCACACAGACCACTTGCGAATGTCCTCTTGACTTTGCCTGAACACTTAAAAACTAGTATGTTCTGTGATGAGTAGATCACAGCAATTACAGATGAATGATGCAAGACAACATGGGAAACAGCACCCAGGGGCAGGAAGCTGGGTCAGCGATGATGGGCAAACCTGTTACAATTATTACGAACACTCCCAATTCAGTTGAAGCACAGTCAGAGCTCTGTAGCGCCTGACTAACAGTTTGTACAAGGACAAACAAGCTTTGCACTAGTCACAGAAGGGCTTGCGAATTGCTCTCTTAGGACCTTCTCCACTCAGGCAGATCTCCGTCTTCCTGCCCTAGTGACAGAACTTCCTTTTTCTGACCTTCTCTCACTCAATTAACGGTAATGTTAAGCTAAAGATTTTTTTGTTCTAAAAAGGACAAGCTGTCATCACCAAAGCCCTACCACCTGCTGTCCAGGCCCTCCCTGTTCACTCACACACAGCTGGCACTGCCACCTCTGCAGCCCTGTGTGCAGGAGGCTGCTCCACTGAGCCATAATTAAAGGAGGGAAAGCAGCATGAAGGTTTTGATGGGATGACGGGAGAAACTGGGCCACTGCCTACTAACAACTAATAAAGACCTGCTCAACTACAAACACCACCAGTACCAAACTGAGGCGTAGGCTCTGTATACAAGACGTACCAGTCTGCCCTGCTATCACAAAGACGTACCAGTCTGCCCTGCTATCACACCTTTGAAAGAATCTGTTATCACCAGTGTCCTACTTTTATTCTGTAAATCTGCGCTATGATGTCCTCACACCAGGGAGAGAGGCTGGGTGACTGTGTTAACCACTACACTGTACACCCTCTCTGTATTCTCCAGAACACCAGTTCATTTACACATTCACACTGCATGACCATGGATGTTATATACACTTCTGACACCAGTACACTTCATTAATATGAACACGCTACAAGCTATTGAAACCACCATATTGCATGAAAATCAAAATGAGTAATTTCAAGTGTTTCTCTTAATGAAGCAAAAATAATTTTGTACAATAGACAATTTTAACAAGGCAAAACATACCTGGTTGCAGATCTGGGTCTGGCCGGGTTTCTGCAGAGATTTCACAAGGGGCTGACACTGCCCTCAGAGCTGAAGTAAGAGCTCCCCCCAGTGAGCACTGTGAATTCAGAAGAACAGACTTCCATCACACATCTTGTCAGATTTAATTAGGCTGAGATATTTGAGAAGGTCAGTCCAGACACACATTTCACAGTGCTAGCGAATTAAAATGTAATTCCTTCAATATCCTTTAATGTTTCAAAATGGAAAACCATGAGAAAAGTGGCAGAAGTATGGTCATTTCCACCCTTGAAATGACAGATGATTGGTCTTATTAATGTCCTCTCCATAGTCCTTTCACTTGAGATTCTGAACTTTTAAACAAACACTGCCACAACGTTTTAAATGCAGCAAAAGCAGAACTAGAAGAAAATCTGTTAATAAGGTGATTATTTTTGCAGGTGAAATATTTTATGCACTTAAAAGGTGTTAAATCGTTCCAGTATCTGTGCCTCTGAGCACAAGACTCCCTCCCCTGCAGGAGGCGATACCCCCCAATGCATATGGAACAAAAAGGACAGGCAAGCCTGCTGAGTGAATAAATACCCACGGGACTGCAATGTCTAGCTCTCAAGAAAGACACCGCTGGTATAACCTGACAAAAGCAAAGTGCCCAGAGCAGAGAGAATTCCCATCGAGGAGTGGTGTATCATGGCGCCCGCGCCGAAGGGAGGCGAATGCGTGGCGGAATCGTGGAGGGAAAGCTCTGAGCTGACGCACTGTGGGGACATGGTCTAACGGGGCTCCTGCCCACCCCCTCTCCCTGCCCTAGGTGTGGCTCCTGGAGATGAACTGTAACCCGGCGCTGCACACCAACTGTCAGGTGCTCAAGGAGGTGGTGCCCAGTGTGGTCAATGAGACGCTGGGTAACTATTCAGATTCACTTCTTACAATCAAATCTGTTTTTCACACTCGCATCCAGGTGTTTTTACTGAACACGGGTTGATGTTGCTGCATCACTGTGTTTTCTGAATTGTCATCGTGACCTGATTAGGGAATCAGGGCATAGGGAATGTCTGACAAAAGCACTGTTTAAATCAATAATGTGATAAGTCTAGCATTATATACATTTACTGTCGGACACACCATAATAAATTATGAGCTAAGTATAGTAATACAATAAGGGAAGTAAAATATCACCATTGGAAAACTGCAAATACCACTTACTGTACATGTAGTGTAAGGCTGATGTTAGTATTTTACTTTGTACGCTGTACTGACAGCAGTCATATGGGTCGTGTCATCAATCCCTGCAGACTGCTATGCACCAGCAGTCTGATCAGCGTCATTACAAATCCTGGCGTGAATTGCACTGCTACACACTAGCAGCATGAGAAAACTGCAAAACGTGGAGCTGATCTCTCAGTTACGCAATTGGCCCTAAACCGAGCAAATTATAGGATTAGTTTGAACTGTGCTTGCAGCACTTCAGCATGTTGGAGGTTGCCTTTTACTACGGCGCTTCACAAATAACTATCTTCAGTTGCGTGGTAAAGAAACAGCCAAGGTTCCAGTCAAGCAACTCATCAGTTCAATTATGGGATGAAGCAGAGTGCTCACATGAAACACCAACCAGCAGGTGAGCCAGTCCCCAGGATCAGGACAGGGCGATGTGGAGCCTGGAAAGGATCAGGCTGCTCTGTAACGGGACTACACTTTCATCACTCCGACACCCACAGCATGAACAACATCACTCAAGATCACCTTTTATAGGCGTCCACAGTTCCGCTGTGTTTGAGCATAGTCCGCTTCCGGTATATTACACATAAAAATAATAGTTTTGTGCACTGCTATACCGGTTCTAAGCATGAAGTAGTTCAAGTAGGGAGCAGCGTCAGCATGCATAGGCTGCAAAGGAACAAGTACAGGTTTATCCCTGCTGAAAAGAGAAGAAGACTCCAAAGCCGAAACTGTGGGTTTCTTTTCTTCTCTTTTCAGCAGGAATAAACCTGTGCTTGTTCCTTTGGTGTTCTAAGCATGACATACTGGCACCTCGCTTCTATTTCTTCTCTTTCCTTCAGGGTTTCAGAATACCACAAGCAATTATTTGTTTGCTTTGTGTTTTTGGTAAAACTGCTGATGAAATGTTACAGAGGAAATCTTTTCTTCCCCAGACCTGACCATCGAGATCTTTAACAAGTGTCGCAAGAAACAAAGTCTGGCCCCGCTGGAAACTCTGAGAAACTTCGTCCTGCTGTACAACGGCGAGGACCACGATCTGCAGGCCAAGCCGCAACGCAGCAAGACAGCCGTGGCAGCTCTCCCCGCCGCTGGCAGAACGCCTCGGCCCCAGGCCAAGGCCCCAGCGGCACTGCCGCTGCCCAGAGCCCCTGCTGAGAAGAGACAAAAGGAGGTGGCGGGGGGCAGGTCCCCCGAGAGGACGGGCAGCAGGGTGGCCTCAGTCAGCCAGACTCCCCAGAAGGCGCCGCAGGGGAGAGCTCCTGACAACGGTCAGGTATCGTCGCCCGCGAAGACAGGCAACAGGGTGGAGCTGAAGCTGAACAAGTGCGGCTGGCCCAGTCAGTCTCCTGAGCCCGAGCCCCGCCGCAGCTTCTGGAAGATGAAGAGCACCATCGCCTCCCTGTCCACGCCCACCCTGTCCGAAAAGGCATACAGCCCAACGCGGTCCACAAGACACCTGGGGCTCATATCGCACCCAGTTACCAAGCACAGCCTGTCCACGCAGTGCCCTGGGCCGGGCCCCATCAGAGCCGCTGGGCTGCAGCCCCGGGCCCCAGCAGTGAAACTGTTCCACGCGGACGAAGCGATAGGGCTGGCGCCTCACAGGTCAGAGGTCAGGCTGTCGAAGGTCAAGGGAAAAGGCACGGCCTCTGCCGAACAGGGGAGAGACGAACCAGAAATGGTCACAACAAACCGAGGAGCCTGACCAGCTGTGTGCATTTATTAGCTACCTGTACAATGGAAACTGTTTACTGCACTTCCTTTTGCTGAAAGATAACCGTGACTTTATTACATCATCATACAGGATACAGCTGTTTACATTTCTTTAATTTTAAAACTCCATGAATAAATGATAAGCATATGTATTTATATATCCAGTATGAAATGAAGTATTTTTATACATTAAATACATGTTTTGAACAACCCAGTCAAGGTCCGATTTTCTTCCTGTATTTCCTGCAACAGTGCACAGTGTTCACTGAGAAAGACCACACAGTCTACAAGCCAAGAATTCACAGCTCTGCTGGTGTCCCAAGAAAAACAGGTGACCTCTGTTTCTGCATTTGTTTCTGCTTTAATTGCTGTATATATTAATGCCCAGATTTCTGCCAGCTGACTACCAGAATGCAGGCGGAGCTCAACAACCCAGACACCACAGGTTCGAGCCCAGGCGACAGCCAGGATTGGCAGAGCACTCTCCAGGAAAAGGTGAGGATTAATCAACCAGGTCCTCTTAGCAAAACAAAGACGTCTACAACTTGTCGGCAGACTTCACACTTTAAAGAGCAATGCCCTCTCCCCTTGTGACAGGCAGGTGTGTCCGCAAATCATATCCACAGGTCCTCATTCCCCCTGTGCAATACAGGGGTCACAGCTGGAGCCTTAAACAAGTGGCTATTCAGCAGGTACACAATAGAACAACTACTCCAAATTTATAAATATATAGCTTATTACCTCACTCCAGATTTCACTCCGAGTTCTCGTTTACTTAATTGAAGCTGTTATCTAATGACACCTTTTCGAATTGTCTTCTACTGCAGATCTGTTAAAAGAGCTGTTAAGACACAACATGGAATCTACACCTTTCAGTATCTAAAATCATTTCAAAGGTTCGATCATCAGACAAATTAAGGGGTTCAGCAAATGCTGTAGTTCAATACAACAGTACAATACCTCTTCATGTGAAAGAGAACTGTAAGACTGTACAAAGCAGAAGACCAGGATTACTCCATCCCCACTGTATTTCATCACTTCTGCCCTCTCAATACTGTGCCTGCAGTTACACAACAGCCCTCTGTGTATTGTAGCTTTGTGGCACTCAGCCTGCGATGCCATGACGACAGTCTCTTGCATACTTGTGTGCAAGCTGCAAACTCAGCTTGTGGGTTCTCTTCATGTGAAAGTGACACAAAACCAACGAGTCACGGCGCTTCCCCAGCTCTCAAAGAGGCAGGGGGAATGCCTTACTACCAATATCTGATGCCAGGGGCAGAGGTGTGTGGAGAAAAACCGAAACGGTGGTTCACAAATATCAGTAAGCCCTGATGGCCCTGAGAAAAATGTACAAAACATAGATTTATTAAGCACAATGTCCAAGCATCACAAACGTCTCCTCATACACAAGTAAATGAAGAAGGAAGAGCGAGGCTGGGAAACAGACTTGGTTGAGAAGGCTGGTCTGGACAGTAACGATAATCAGCTGTTGCGTTAATTGCTAGACAATGGCATAACTACAGTGCTGTGGCTGCCGGGCTCCACGGGTTTATTCTCGCTGCTACTGTTTCCACACACTTCCGTGTGCCTCTCGACACTGCCCCCCGATTAACCACACACACCTACACTGCACGCGGGGGACGCGCAGGGCCAGGAGGCAGCCCGGGCAGGGAAGCTCTCGCACCCGGAAGGCAGCTCTGCCATCTCTTCTTGACATCACAGGCTGCCGGCACAGCGTCAGGGCACTGGGCTCTGGGCACCTTGCCCTGCAGGTACCCTTCTCTTGATATTCTTCATCTTGCTGAAACTGTACCTGTTCCTTTTGTAACAGGATGGTGGTCTGTTGTGTCCAGAAAAGTAAAATGAAACTATTTATACTTAGTTTGTGCTACAAAATTACAAAAGACAGAATAAAAATGGTACTTAATTTTTGTCTGTAACTCTACAGCTCTGTATCATGATCTCTGAAGGTGTTACTCAGTTTTGACACAGGATACTTGCATTAATAGTCCTACTATAAAGTAAAATGTTTTTAGCCAGTATCTTTAGTATAGTATTATCCACCTAGAAAATGACTTTATCATCCAATCAATTTCAAACAAATCGTTCAATTCCATGGTGCAACTGTGCCTTTACTTCCTCAGACAGATAAAAAAATAGTTTCAACTATTCGTACCACATTCTACAGGTGCGCTATAGAAAGTGTGCTTGACACAGTGCATGTGGTGATACAGTGTGGTTTGGCAGCAGCTCGATGTCTGACCGAAAGGCGTTACAGGGGGTTATCAGGAAGCCCAGTCCATTCCTGGAGTACAGCTCCCCTGTACTGTGGACATTTCTACAACTCGCTGTCTCAGGAAGGCTGGGAGTATTACAAAGGTTAACAGCCATCCTTGTTTCTCACTTTTCTCTCCCCTGCCCTCTGATAAGCATCACAGGAGCATAAAGGCACATACTGTACCTCCCGATTCAGAGACAGCCTCTTCCCACAGGCTGTCAGATTACTGAATTCCACTTCTACCACTGTCTCACGCTGAGGGGTTCTCTTTTGCACACGGCTTGTGCTGACTTTTATTTCAGTTGAGTGTTATTTAACTTGATTGTTGTTGCTGCTCCTGTTCTGTGTTTAAGTCTGGTGTTTTCATTATGTCTTTATATTTGAGCATACATGCACATGAGCATTTCATTGCATTTGTTCATGTAGACAAAAACTTAACTAAAACCTAAATCCAAGGAAATAAAACAATATTGCTCATTGCTGTCAGTGTAGGTAGCAGGTCTCAAAAGATACCTCTCTTAACACCTTGTGTGCCAACAGTAACAGGTAGCCTTTAGGAACAGGACACAAGTCACAGGTCCACTAGAGAAAAGGACTATACTTCAAACACACTGGTAACTTTGGCAAGTGATTTACCACATCTGAGGGGGCAGAATGCCAAAATAAGGAAAGAAAAAACTATTTCCGAGGTAGCAGAGCTTGCTTAGGCAGCGTCAGTCGCAGAGGAAGTCGGTTTGTGTCACAAGCCGACGTTTGCTCAAACAGGAAAGAAACTCACTTCAGATCTTCAGCGCGGCGCGTGCACACCGCTCATCGCACCAGACTCGCTGATCTCCCACACCGTCTAGAACAGAAAACCCTCCTGGCCCACGGAACTGAAGGGACCCTTTCTCGACACCGCTCGTCTGCACCACGGCATTATTGGTGATTTTCACTTGAGCTTGGCTCTGGCCGATCTCAAAGCTGAGACGACGACCAGCCGGGCCGCTGGCAGCCAGGGAGCAGATGCAGGGGGCCAGGCCTGCTGGAAATCCCGTGCGATGAGGGCGGAGGCAGACGGTCCTGAGCTTGAAGACAGACCGAGCACACAACAGGGGCTCTCGGGGGCTGAAGGTGGACAGGGACAGCGATGGGCTGCTGCAGCTTCACCGCGCGCCACACTGGGACGGACACCGTAGGACCTGACGAAATCGAGCTGCTGGAACCTGGGTAGGTGCTCTTCCACAGGGGGCATCAAGCCACAGTGCAAGGTTAAGGCTCAACTACTATGCTTCTGTGTGGCAGCTACATTCAGCTTGTTTGAGTCAGAAAGCAGCAGTCTGTGAGGTTCGACTGTTTCTCCTTTGAGAGCTATAGCAGGAAAAGACCACGTATGATGGTCTCTTATTAAGCAGCTACGAGTGTTACTGTGAATGTAAGAGGGTGCTGCAGTAGTTTAAGCTATTTTCATGCCTTTGTGTGGATGTTTTTTGCTTTAATATTTTCTAAGCTGAACAAATTTAACTTTCTCTATGTTCTGAAAATGATAACAGACTGGTTAATTACATAACTAAGCTCCGGCCTTTGAAAAAGAAGAGTTAAAATGTTTAATACTTCCACTGAAATCCAGAACCTACAACAATACTGAACTATGCTCCAACTACTAGTATTAAACAATTTTATAAATGATCTAAAAATGCGACTACGGTGCTTTTTTATATTGGCACTTAGCAGTAACTTTTGTTTTAAAGCCACTTTTCCGTATACTGAAAAATTAATGTAAATGTTGAACTGAAAGTCTTTAAACAGCACAAGAGCAATTTAGAAAGTGCGAAAGCTACGAGCTTGTTCTGTGTTACAATCTTCTGGCAACACAGAGAATCACATTATGACTTCCTCATACAAAGATCTGTAAAAGCGCAAAAAACACCCTGAACGATAAAGCTCAGCAAAAAAAAAAATCACGCAAATTAAGCTAGTCCCTCATTAGAAAGAAAATTCCCAGTAATGCCATTTTTAGGTTTGTTTATGGAGAAAAGGCTTTTCAACCAATTTTCCTCCACCCTTTGTGTGCAGGCTGATCCCCTTAAGGAACCATAACAGACTAATCCCATTATTAAAACAAAGAGGGTTTAATGAGGGCGGCAGCAAGACTGCATGGGGTTCAAACACGGCGTCAGACAGAGGGGCTCAGCCCAGTCAGGGCATTCGCCCTCAGCGCAGGCGGACAGGCAGATCCCGAAAGCTGAGAGACAGGACAACAGGAAGTGTGAAGAAACCAGACTTCCTCAGATGCTCATCTCCACTCTCGTGCGGCACTGCCATCTGTGCCAGAGCAGAGGCAGAGTGCACCCCGTGTCAGACAGGACAGACAGCCGTGTCTGAGGAAGGGTCGGCTCAACCCCCGATTCCCACATTCCAATTATCAGATTAGAGAGGCGAGACGGCCCCTTCCCCAGTGCTGGTCTTTAAGAGATGGGTCTGGGTCTGGAAAACAGACAGCTATCAGGGACCAAATGCAGATTACTTTGATCATGTTAATCACTTAGGTTTGCTGTATTTCATGCTCCTTATTATTATAATTCCGAAAAGACATTTGCTAAATTATACGGGGTATTAATAATTAAAAAGGAATTATCAAAGTATTAATGAGAAAAAATACTGACTTGAAGCCAAAATGGGTGGAATACTCTGGAACACGATCTGTACTAAAGTAGAACTCTTTATCGACATCACATTAAAGGGCCTGTAAATGCAGTACAATGCAATTCTGCCCTCCGTGATCTACAGTACAACACCAAGGCCATTCAGTCTGTTGTGTTAGTTTACTTGCTGCTTAATCTTGTTAACTAATAAGTATACAATCATATTACTATGATGTAAATTCTCCACACTAACACAGGATAATGACAAGAGCCTTTCATCAGTAAGCTCTTTTTATTTAGTGCCATGTATGACTTTGCACTTGTCTAGTTCATATTAAGCATGCTAGGTGTCTGGCAAGCTTGAATAGTGTCTGTGCTGGTGTGTAATGGCTCCTTTGCTACAGTGCCAACCCCTCGTCAGAGTACAGGTGCAGCATACCCTAATGCTAACCTCACAACTGCGCTGAACCATGAAACCAACCAGAAACCTGTTAAAGCCAGACAGGCCGAGAGTTCAAATGTGGCACATTTCTATAAATGAAATATACTGTATGACTCTCTCGCAGTAATGTCATAGTAAGAGATGCAACAAAGAATTAGAAACTTATTTAACTGTTATTTTGATTTTCTATATGCTCCCCCTTCTCTCTTTTTCCATTATTTTGTTTTTTTTTTATGTGTGTGAAAAAAGGCATATTGTAAGCCTTAACAACACTACAATAAATTAAAAAAAAACAACTGGGTTGAAAACAATGTAAGAGTGCCAAACATAACATACAAACTGTACGTAAACATTTATTGCATACCCTTTATACTCCGCTTCTCAGTTTGAGTGTAACACAGACTCCTCTTCTTTCCAGAGTGTGGAGTCTGGCGGAGACCAGAGAGCCCATCTCAGAGAGTGTGCGTGCAGAGCCCCACTGCTGCCCACCGGTACGTCACGCTGAAGAGAGGCATGCTGGGACTGCAGCTCCCACTGCTCCCTAACCCTTCTGCTATAGTCAGTGCCTGCGTGTGGAATGGGACCTCGCAATGGGCCCTGAGCCCTATTCAGCACTCTGGCACTGTGGCACACTGAGGTCCCTCCTGCACCCTCTCCAAGGGTTCACAGAGACAAGACATCCTGCTCTATCAAAGGATACGTTGGTGTACCAGCAGGTCTCAGCTCTCTCAAGAGGGTCACAACGTCAAGACAACTCTGCTGCACCCAGGAAATTAAATCTGGTTTAAACTGGCTGTTTGAGGCTTTTGAAACTATCAAGAGCAGGAGAGAGGCCACTTAATGGTCTGACACCATGGTCTTATACCACTTCCTGACCTTGGAGTCCCCACACCCTGCTGAACCACCTGCTGGTGCAGTTGATTCAGAAGACAAAAAATGTTCATCTGCATGAACAAGCGATCCCAAAGCCCAAAGGCACAAACCCTGGTCTGTTATCAGACAGGTCCTGGCACACACGTGCACTCAGAAGGCTGAGATTTGTGCCAGTGGAGGGAAGTGCTCCCTCCGCAACAGGGGCTCCTCCTCCAGACCAGGAGGGCTTGGCAGCTTCTGGTCTTTGCTGCTAACCAACTAATCAATTAAACAGTGCACCTCATGATCGTCTTGATTAGACATCTATAGGAGCTTTCTTCAGGATTTTTTTACAGTTTATTACATAACTATTCACTTTAATAATCGTACATCCACCTATAAAACACCTCAGAGCCTGGTTAAAAACACTACGATTGCAGTCATTGGAGAAAAGTTACAAATCGCAGGTAGGCAACCTGTAGGAACCAACTCCATACGGCAGAGATGGCCAGCCAAGGTCCAGGAGGTTGAGATCTCCCAGTTTAGCAGTTCCAGCAGGATACCCATAGATCAGCAATCCTAAAATAAAATGTCAAAATTTTGTTTTGATCACTACAGCAGGTGATTTGTTCAGTTAAGTATATCAGATACTTTATCATTTAATATGAAAATATCAAAACTGTAGCTCATGTGAATTGCAGCTTTCCACTCCTGACTTAAGTGACAGTCGTTTAATACATTAAACCACACAGGCCTTTACTAACTAGTGGCTGAAGGGTAGCCTGTAAAGACCTGCTGCATTCTGAGACTCTGAGACTTGCTCCCTGGTCCCTAGTTTACAGCAAGCAAGATGCAGTTTGAATAATACTGCTCCTACATAAAGTAAACTACCACACATGCTATACTACTATGAGCAGAATATCTGTTAATTTTACTTCTAATACCAGTACTAATACAAGTGCTGCTATCACTAATAGTACGCCTCCTAAAGTAGCACTGCTGTTACTCCTCCTGGAGTCCAGTAGCTGTTTTCAGTCTGGCTCCAGCCTGGGCCAGACAGGGCATTAGACATCGCCCTTAAATCAGGACTTAAACTGATAACAGGCGCGGGCAAACACTTTCATTCCTTAGCTGGCAAAGCTTCTACCTCACAAACGACAGGAACACTCCTCACCATTGAACCCTGCCCTGTCATTACTCACACGAGTGACACACACCTGTTATCAAGTCATCTGTACGCAGAAAGAAACAGAGCAACAACTGACAGACCTGACTGCATCTTCACGTTAAAGTGGCCCTGCTTAATTAAAGCAGACAAGGAAAAAAGAACGTGCTGGAAAAATAAGCTCCTCACAGGTGTTCACTGAGTGAGAACATGAGGCTACACTAAGTCATTGTGGAACAGCAGTGCTTGCTCTCCAAAAAACACTGTTCTCACAAAGGCACTGGGATGGAACAGATGTCCACACTGTGCTAAACACATGAAAGAAGATGGGAACTGAGACAAATTCAATAATTTGAAGTAAAAGAACAAATTCAGTAATTTCAGTAAAGGACAAATTCAGGCATTTGAGCTAAAAGAACCAAGGGCAGAAAAAGAATTGGGAGACCTACGGCTCTTCCATAATGGGCATGAAAGTACTCTATTTTACCCACCGAACAAAGGGACTGAAGCAGGGGGTCAACAAAAGAGCTGCTTTTGTCCATCCAGGTCTTGCTCTGGGGCCGCACCAGGGAGGACCTGCACTGCAAGATCTACACTGAGCCCATTGTCGCCTGGGAAGGTCCGGCTGTCCACTCTTACGGAGAGATCGCCTGGTCCTCCAGGGTGCAGCTCTTCAACCACTACACGCAGGTACCATCGCCTGCCAGTGCCCCCCTGCGCCAGCTCGCACCTTCTCTCTCTCAGGAAAATGCCAAAGATCTCCAGTGCCATTTTCTCATCAGTGGCACAGAGGTCTTGCAGGGATCTCGCCCCTCAGGCATGACTTGTGCTCAACTCATCCTTCCCACAGACCACCTTGCTCTCCTCTGACCTCTGCAGCAGCCCTCACAGGCCCAGCAGGAGCTGAGCTTGCAGGCAGTGGCTTCAGCAGAGACGATGCAGCCCCCGCTGAAGAGCTGACATGTCTACAAGCATGCTCTTAGACCACAACTTTAATTCAACCCTGTTCCTGTACGGCAGGGATGTCAAACACCAAGACTTCCCCTCTGAAAGATTTTGCACTAAAGGCTCCTGGAGCAGGCAGGGAGGCCTGGTATTTCTCTGTCTTACAATATAACGAGGTTTGCTGCAATCTACAGGTAGCTGTAATGAAATACCTGCACATGCCCTAATGAAAGCATGGTTAAGAGTTTTAAGGGTTTTTACAAGCTGTACTGACCCCACCTCCCCTGTCTCCCTTGTCTCTCAGCAGGAGAGGGATGAGAGATACCTTGTGCTGTTTTCTTTCCATTTGCTGATACTGCAACTGGACCACCCCAAGCAGGCGTTCATCTACCAGGTCAGTTCCCAGCTCTTTGGGTCTCTTTTGTTAACATAGTGGGGAGCAGGTCAGTGTGGCTCTAAACTTTAACACAGTCATTAAGAACATCGGGGCTCTTGGATGTTGCCCACTCAGCAGAGGCGCCTGCTGAAAGCACGGGACCTGGGCCAAGAGTCCCCAGGCAGTGGCGTGCAGCTGGCAGAGCTTTTCTCAGCTGTCAGCAAAGTGATAACTCCTGCCGCTTGGCATCTGAGGAACTCTCCGGGCAGACTGGCCCATAATTACAGAGCACAGATCGCAAGGACAGCAGGTTAAGTCTAAAATAATGGGAGATCCCACTATCCACTTGGTGGATATACAATAAAAATTGTATTTACCTATTCCAAATACAAAAACCAAGCCAACATTTCTACTGTAAAACTACTAAAATTGTAGCACTGAAACAAATCTCTACAAATGTACCTAATCAACCAAACTGTGGTTGATAGCTTCACCTCAAGTTTTAGGAGTGGCAGGCTCTTGTATTATTTTGTCATACTAATGTAAAAGAGACACACTTTAATACTTTAACAACAGACTTCTGTCAATGTGCATTATATTTTCTAACAATAAGTACAGTATAGAGAGTACAGAGCTTTCAAATCTCCAGCCTCTTGAGTTGTTTTCTGTGCAAAAGAGCTGCTGCTGCTAATGGCTGCAGTGGGTTGGGCCGGCAAAGAGAGGAGTTTTCATCTGATTTTCTCCGCACATTTTAGAAACTGCAGCTCAGCCGGCTCCCGTTTGTGCTTGATTACAGGGAGTCCTCCCTCTCTCTGGAATGTCCGTACGGGAGATCAGACAGGACAACGATGTCTCCAACATGTTTGAAATTCATGGTGAGTCTGCCATGAGGTATTAAGAGTCTGCAAACTGTCTCAGTTAAAGTTATCTAGTAACCCTTGACACACTCACTGCCAGAGCATGTCATGCACCGCTGGGCTAAGAAGTCTGAAGATGACCAAAATAACATTTCGCTGCACACTCTTATCACTGATGATGCCACAAGGCTTCCTACTAAAACCCACCTTGTTACACTTAAAACTTTAACGTCCTTGCACACTGTACCACAACACTTCTCTGCCACTTTAAGTGCCGTACTGGCTCAGCTCTTCCATTGTCACTGATCATCGCCTGATTAACTAAAATACATTAGTGATTGTTTACATTGTTGTTTTGCTCTTAAATCTTTGCTGATGCTGAAACACCTTGCAAAGGTTACAGGTACAAACAGGAATATGGGGACATTTTTCCACCTCCCCTAGCTTCAGTCTCCTAGAGAACAGCGCAGCACCCAGCTTAACAGATTTCTGTATCTCCAGGGCCAATGGTGGATTCAAAGATAGTCATCTGTGCCAACCACACAGAGCTGAAAAACTGGATCGAGCACATTGAAGAGAGCATGCAGAAGGTCCTCAACCAGCAGCTGAGTCCCTTCCAGAGTGTGCTCTCCTGCCTGGTACGACACTTGCCTTGCGGTGAAAATCAAACTCCTGGTGCAGAGCAGTTGGTTCCACTTCAGGTTTTACCTGCCTCACTGTCTTGTACAAGCAGAAATGCTGAAAGTGAGATAACACAAGTATACATTGTTCTATTATAGCACTTTGGAAATGTTCTTCTGAGAAAGATTTAAAAAAAAAAGATTAGTCTTGTCGCTTACATGTTGATTGTAAGAGGAAGATTCACATTACTGCCGACTGTACGTGCGGTGCTGCCCTACCTATCCTATATCAAGGGGGCTACAGGGAAGTGGTTAGGTCTCTGGACTCTGAACTGGGACACTGCTGCAGATGCTGCTGTTGTACTCTGGAGCAAAGTGCTCCACCCTATCTGGCAACGGTGATCTGTTTGAAATATGGAAAACGATAAGCACAGCTATGGAACTAGACAGGCCCAGCTGTGCCAGATCGTTTGGAGCGACACCTATACAGTAGCAGCAATCGGTGCATGAGGCAATATCTTACTAACAAGAAGCTCTTCAAATCAGTCTTACCTCACGGAAAAAAGAGGCTTTAGAGAGAAATGCACTCTACCAGAGCAGAACTGAATGTTTCAATACATCAAATATTTCTCATACCACAAAGATATTTTTGTGGTTGTTTTCTGCTGAGCTTTTAGAGCACAGAGGTTTCAGATATTTTTTTTTCTCACGGAAATCTCCCTCTGATCTGCCTTGTCTCGTCAGTCAAGACAAAGGTATGCAAATCCTCCTTAACCTACAAAATCAAAACAGGTACGCAGCCCAGAACCCTTTGTGCACTTCCGCTCAACACAACAAGGAAATAACGGCGTTCTTATCCTGCAGTCCCTTTCACTAGAGAGGAGTGAAGACGTAAGAAAACTTGCAGCAACTGAAGCAACGGCCTAGTCTGCCACTAGCAGACACATCCATTAGTCCTGCGGTTCAAAGACCCAATTAATCGATAAACAGGATGCATTGATGTGCTAATGAATTTCAAACTTCTAAATTCAGGAACACAGTGAATCACAACAATCACAAAATCAACCTGTTTTTAGTTTTAAAGGTGAGAAACAAGCCTTTTTTCACTTTCACTCCAGAGTTGAAAAATATTCTATTACACATTATTGCTTTGAAACCAGTACTGAATCGTGCCATTTCCAGTTTAGCCGTTTAGCAAATAAACCCAAAAGAATACATCTGCAGTAAAACTGACATCAAGACCCAGCAATAGTAAACTACTGGATGGCGACCCTTTTGAGATAATATTTCCAATAAGTTCAGGGCAAACACTTAAGAACCATGCTCTCTGTTTAACAAACAAGGTGCCATGTGACGAGAAGTGGAAGAGGGAGGAACTGAAGAGGTACCTGTTGCGAGCTCCCATCTGGCAGTGGGAGGGCACGCCCATACAGCACCTGGGACAAATTGGCTACCTGTCTGTGGTCTACGTCACCAATGCCCAGAGAGAGGTGGGCACGGGGGGAAACAGAGGGGTGGGGGTGAGGGTCATTAAAGGATTATAGTAATTACAACTGTAATTATTTCTGTGTCAATAATTATACCCAAGCCCTTAACACAAAGCTGAACAACGCTTGTGACTGTGGAAGGACCAAATACTGAGTGTTTTCTAAATTCAAAGCTGGAATGAAAGGGCCTCCTGAGGGTATTAAGCAGTAAGCGCCCTCATCTGGGTGCAGGTCGCACTCTGTGACCCAGGTATCCCAGGTTCGAACCCTGGACACGTCACTAGCTGACTGTGACTGGGATTGACCAAGAGGCAGGGGGTCAGATCGTGTGATTCAATCCAGAAAGCTGGCTGTGCGCGGGGAGCCCTGGGCTGATCCGGCACAGGGGATCCACACTGAGGCCCGCTGAACTAGTCCTGCAGATGCCGAATGTGAAGGGCCAGAGCTGACTGACCGACTCTCCCTGCTGGTTCCTGTGCAGGGCTCTCAGGAGCGCATCCTGGTGCTGTTCCCTCAGGACCTCCTGCTGCTCTCCATCGACAGCCAGAGAGTCCACGTCAAGTATGAGGTAGGGTTTCACAGCTCCAGTGGAAGGAATGGGTTAATCAGGGGATGACAAGGTAACCTGGGGGTGGGGGTGACCTATCCAGGGCCAGCGAGGCTGACCACTGCAGGCCAGCGGGGACCAGGAGCCCAGTGCTGCCAAGCCTGTCCCGAAGGGCTGGAGCCCCTGGTCTCCCAGGAAACTGAAACCTCCCAGCTGGACTGGGACCAAAACACGGAAACATGACCCAGGGGGCAAAAGCGAAAATGACTGGGAAATGCATTTAAAACTGAGAGCAGGCACTTCTCTACACATAGGGTGGCAGGAGTCTGGAACAGGCAGCCCAGCCCTGTTGTTGATGCCAATTTCCTGGTTTCTTTCAAGACACGGATGGATGAGATCCTGGGATCAATCAGCTACAAAGTGCCAAACGGCCTCCTCTCATTCGTAACGTTTCTTATGATCTTGTTTTCTAACTCGCTGGGCAGCAAAGCAGCAGAAGGGCAACACAGTGAAAGCACTGTAACCTCTAGATGTTCTTGTAAACTCGTTTTTAAAACTATAAAAGCTGCCAGGCACCAACCTGGTATTCAACAAATATCTAGACTCAGCAATTATCTTCATTCAGACCCGACCCTGTTCACAGTCCCCTGCACTGCGCAGGGAGAATAAGGAGTGGCTGACGGGCCCATTCGAACCCTTGGCTTGACCCACTGCAAGCTCCCCTGCGATCCAGACGGTCAGCACTGACCTCCCCCGCTGATGAAACTGAGAGCGCTGATCCAAGCAGAGCGCCAATGTAGTCTAGTTTTATTCTTAAAAATCTTGTTCTCTACCTTAATTGGAAATCTGCATGAACATGATAATTTATGCTTAACGAGCACAGATCCGTTTTACAGCGAATACAACTGAGGGCGTTAAACTGAGACCATATGAAACCGCAGAGGCCGAAGCCGCAAAGCACTATTGAGCAAAGCACCGGGCTCCAGCAACACGTGCTACCCGAGTGTGCCCACAAGGGGGCGCCAAAGCATTTTGCTTCTCTTTTTGTCGTTTCTGTCTGTATTAAATGCCATCAACGACCGCAAGAGTCACTTCGAAAGGAATCACGAAATGTACAATGCCATCTTAGATGATAAAATAAAGAGCGCACAGACAATGGCATGATGCGAGTCATTACAAAGACATCAGGGGATTAGATTAGTGATTACGGGAATGATTTACACCTTGATTTAACTTTAGTTTTAAATGTTACAAATTAAATGACTGTCTGACGCTAGAAGGTACTGTATTGCAGAAGCCTGATGCCTTACACTTGTATCTGCAAAAAGTTAAGTGACAGAACTAGGCCGTTTTTCCTCTCCTATAATAACCAACTCAATGACTTATCTTGCAGACTCATCATGCAGTCTCTGAGTTACCAACCTTAACGTTTCAAGATCTTTTTGTTTATCATTTCTAAGGTGGCCAGCTCGCACCGTTCAAGAGATCAGACCTGCATCTTTTACACACCTTCGAGTGTAGCCTACTTGCCAAAAAAATACAGATGAATAAAGTAATTTCTCTGGTTGACCAAAGCTTTGGAACATTCACAGCTGACATTAACTTTCAAACGGAACCTGAACGCCGCTACCGAAATGTCAGACCGCTCCGATCGTCACTCAGACGTCAGCGGCAGAAAATTGCGTCCTGCTCAAAACTAAGCACCTTTTCGAAATAGCTATTAATAATCGCATTTATTAGTTTCCTGGAAAGAACCAGAAATAACCATAACCGCACGGTACGGTAATATGTCACGTTTTAACTCGAATATCTGGAGTTTCGGTTCTCAGACGTATGGTACTGTATTTGGGCTGCAAAAAAACTGAAGAAAAAAACAGCTTCGACGATAACCGTTCCTCAATTTCGAACTCGGCACCGGGGGACAAAAGCTTAAAGGCAGCTTTTATAAACCTGTCCGATAAAAACTCACTGATATTTCGCAAACGTTTGAAGAGGAACGTACCTTCAGACGTCGCCGGGTTTGAAAAACCGCGTCGGCGCAGGCGCGCGCGCTGCTGCACGTGGCGCGGCCCCTCGCGCTCGGCGGCGGAGTCTGATCCGGTCAGCAGAAGCGCTGGATGCGCAAAGCACACAACACACACAACACACAACCTGTGTGCTTTAACACATAGGTGACACATGCTCAGGGATACACAGCGATGTTTTTAATTGCTGCTACTGCCATTGCTTAATTATTTGGATGTCTGTGTTACTAACAGCCATTTTACAATCAAGTAGTTGGAGTAGGGAACTGTGTCAGCAGGCGTAGGCTGCAAAGGAACCAGTGAAGGTTTATTCCCGCTGACAAGAGAACAAACGCAACCTTTCAGCTGTGGGGGCCTTCATCGGGTGTGACAGTTCGGGTGCCTTCACGAAGAAGGCTCTGCAGCCGAAACGTTGTGTTTCTTTTCTTCTCTTTTCAGCGCGGAATAAACCTGGACTAGGTCATTTATTATTTATTCGTTCTACAGGGCGGAGGGGAGTTCTTGCTGACAGGGCCTTACTCTCTTGGCAGCTTGGTTTCAGGAATGAGGAGCATGTTACTCAGATGGGGCTGAAAGAAATGAGGGCTGTCAAGTCACTAAGTATGTCAATTTTGCGAGTGAGGTTCCGATCTCCTGCTGAGCCGCTGCCTGGCCTTGAGCTCCGGTCACCTTCCTGGAGTTTGGCCTCTCCTCCCTCTCGGAGACCCCCCGGGAAACGGGGAAGGCACGCCAGCACCTCCGGCCACAGCAGTGGGATCTGGCACGGGCCTGTGGAAGCCCGCGAGCCGGGGGCGCTTCTCGTGGGAACAGAGCTCCGTGCAGTGGAGCGGTGTGGACAGGAGGCTCACGTCAAGGCCTGCTCCTCCTCCGCGAGTCGACGTTCCCCGCTTTTCTCCACGCAGTGTCCTCCGCCTGCGTACAAACCCAGCACTGCCAGGAAAGATGTGGAGCAGGCCTGCCTCTGCCTCTGCCTCTGCCTCTGCCTCTGCCGACTACTGGGGAACTAGGAGATAAGAGAAGCTCCCAGGCGAGAGCTGCTCCTCTCAGCCTGTCATCCGATGTTATTAACACAGCTGTCCAGGAATCTCACCCTGCTGCTTCCCAGAGGCCTCCAGGAGAAACACCAGTGGGCAGCCTAGACACCCGCTCCTGCTGTGTAAACAAGGCCACCCTCCTGTTTCTGAGGCACTCTCTGCAGCAGACTGGGCAGCCTGAGGAGTCCTGACCAGCCCGAGAAGCACCTGATTTGAACAAGAGATGCAGTGCTGTGTGAGATTCGGCGTTCCTCCCATACGAAAATATTTACGCTTTCGTTGGGTCTTTTAATCAGCACATGTATGCAAAAGCAAACAAAACATATTGTATATCACTGTCATCTTTAACAAGCAAAAGAAAATCCTTATCAGCTCTGCGGAATTTCAGTTTACTCTAAACGCCTGAGCTCTGTTTCGGCGTCTGTGGTCGTTGCTATTCACTGTGGTCCCGTCCAGCCGCCTGAGGAAGAGGAAAAACACACCAGCAGCGAGAGCCCGTGTACAGTAGTCCTGCCCCTCACAGGCTAGTCAGAGCGAAAGCACAGCAGCCCTCCACAGACAGACAGGGCGCAAAAGTGAAACTCTTGCCTGGGAAAGGCCCTCAACTCTTGGACTGTCTTCTGTCATTAATTCATTAATCACAGGCGCAGAGCTCAGCTGCCAGAAGCAGCTAATTTCTCTCTCTCTCTGCGCAGACGGAAGAGTGTTGCTCGCGCGCACTGGGGGCTTTGTTGGAGCTGTCGGGTCGGGACGGGCGGCGTGCCCTGGAGACCCTTCTCTTGTGTAGCCGACTGGGGCCAGAACGAGCACCTGATGCAGCAGTCTCTAATTCCTGCGGTGATTTTTACATCAGTTTGTACACAGACTGTAATCTTCTGCTCACTTAAGCAGTTGATACATGTGTTCATGTAATCAAAAACGTATAAGAGATCATTTCATATTGAAATCTCAACACCCCATAGCTCTCAATTGGCTGTTCCTTAGTTAAGTTCGTTAGTTCTTGAATTCATAGTTTAACGGTTTGGTATTTAGGCTGGCAGGTCCGAGGGCGAGGAGAGAAAGAGAGAAACTGTCTCAGGAAGCTAGCCCCCTCTGGTTACCAACCACAGTCTAAAACAAGCAGTACTGATACTGATCACCCCATTTCCTCAGCAGATCTGTGCCCTGTGCTGTTCAGCGTGTTGCAGAGCTCAGCCTTTTCAGAAATATAAAAATGAAGCAGAACATTCAGCTTGCTTGTCGCTGTGTGAATGAGTCACGCAGTCCTTCCCCAGCACTTTCAAGCACCCAGAAACAGCCTTCTCTCTCCTGCACACTAACAGACACCTCCTCCAAACTAATGAGCACTTCCTTTTACATTCTTGGAGAGCACGAACTCTCCACCTGTGTATAACACAATAATCATTTCTAGTATAATATTATTTTTTTCTCTGTGCATTTCCAAACTAAAAGAGCCGTTCCTCTAGTATCACATCAATTATGCACATATGTAAAAAATGCGTACGGAACTGTAATTCTTTACACAAGAACCAGCTGTAGCTGATCGTCGATATTTAAGCTCAGTAGCTCCTGATTCATGTCTTGAGCAGAACTGGAGCGAATGGCCCTGCTGGTCAGTGTGAACTCCCCACGCGTGTGGCGAGTCACTGTGCTCAGCCAGCGCGGGGCTCAGGGTCCGGCGGGGCTGTCTCGCGGTTTCCTCAGCGCTCGCGCCCCCACTCCCAGCACGCTACCAGACCGGTTCCCCTTCCCCACTTCCTGTGGATATGAACGCGCTTGAATTGCACGTGGCTGCGGGTCGTGTCAGACCTCCCCCTGGGCCCGGTGTGTTCCTCCATGACCTCGCTCTGACGATGGTGCCGATGAAGCGCCTGCAGGTGACAGCCAGGCCAGTCCCACGACCCGCCGTGGGTCTGGGCAGCGCTGTGCCCTCACCGCTGCCCGCTGTGACCTCTCTCCATAGGGCCGGCTCCCGCTCAAGAGCATCAGGGCCCTGGAGAAGTCCGCGCTGCTGGGGAGGCTGGAGTTCGAGATCAGCGGCAAGTGAACACAGACACACCCAGCTGGGATTGAGGCAGCTGACTGGACTGTACCTGCCTGAACTGTAGCTGACTGGACTGTACCTGACTGGACTCCACTGTACCTGTCTGGACTGTACCTGAGTGGACTGTACCTGACTGGACTGAAGCTGACTCGACTGTACCTGACTGGACTCCACTGTACCTGCCTGGACTATACCTGACTGGACTGAAGCTGACTCGACTGTACCTGACTGGACTGCAGCTGAGTGGACTGTACGTGCCTGGAATGTACCTGACTACACAGCACTTCAGAATGCTTTATAACTGTACCTGACTGGACTATACTGCCTGGACTGTACCTGACTGGATCGCAGCTGACTGGACTGCAGCTGACTGGACTGTACCTGCCTGGACTGCAGCTGAGTGGACTGTACCTCCCTGGACTGTACCTGACTACACAGCACTTCAGTATGCTTTATAACTGTACCTGACTGGACTGTCCGGATGCTTACTGATGCTCTCTCTCTTCCCTGGCAGGAGACATGATGGAGCCCCTGTTAGTGTCTTGCTCGTCTCCTGAGGACTATCAGAACTGGATCTTTCGGCTGCAGCAGGTCAGTGTCATGCAGTTTTGCGCTGATGTTGTGTTGGAGCGAATTGTATCTTGCAGTGAGTATTTGCAGATTATTATTGATTTAGTTCCCTCCTTTGTTCCCGACACTTTGACTCTCAAAACGCATTTACACTCTGAAGAAGGATGTGAACAGTGCGTAATACAGTGTTTAACAACAATACAACACACCTCAACAGCTCATACTTTGACAATAATGCTAAGCAGTGGAACAACATACACATCAAGCATCGCAGAGCAGTGACGCTGTGATGCATGTGGCTGACACAAGGTCGCTGCTATTGGAAAAGTTGGAGGCTGAGCATGAAACCAGATTTCCATCCCAAGCCACTTTCTCTGGGGCGATGCTCTGTGGGTCAGGAGTCATCCTGTCTGACTAGACAGCAGCGCTCAGCTCAGACGCAGCCTGCGACCCTCGCCCCAGGAAGCAGAAGGGCTTCACTTCCTGTGTTGCTGGGGATTTCTTGCAGGTAGCGTCTCTGTTTGATTCTCGCAAAAGACCCTGACTTTAAAGGTCTGCACTGTTAAGGCGATAATGTATCATTTTGGCCCAGGGTTTGACACAGGTGCTCTAAAGCTGCCCTTCAGGAAGAAGAGCATGTTAGTGCTGATTCTAGACCGGGACGAGCCCAGGTGTGAGACAGCTTGAGGTCACACTCTCTGAACACCACCGCAGTGAGAGACGATCACCGCACTGTCCCATAAAACACAGCAGCCAGGGACACTGAAGAGGACACTGAGACACAAGGCTCCAGCGGCTCACAGCGTGTCTCCTCTGCCCCTCACAGCCTGAGACGATAGTCAGCACCATCTCCAAGCAGCCGCCGCCCCTCATCCCCAAGAAGAGACGGAGCTGAGGAGGAGCTGGGGCCTCAGGCTCTGGAGCTGAGTGGAGCTGGAGCCCGCGGACCCCGTCTGCATCTTCCAACGGACTCCAGAACCGAACCCCCCACGCCCCCACACCCGGGACTGTTCCACGCTCCTTCCTGAGGAGGGCGATAGCGTGGTTCCAGCCAGTAGCAGCCTCCCTGATTGGCTGCCTCAGTGCTCAGCTCTGGTCCCGGGAGAGCAGAGCCATGCTCCCTGAGCTGCCTGGCCCTGCGGCGGACTGCACGGATCGGTACTGTTGCGTACCAGAGTAATATATTTTTACCCTTCCTTTCACTTCAGGCCAGGCCTGACACGGGTGTCTGTGGTGAAAGGTGGCCGTTATTGCTTCAGAGCTGGGGGTCAGGGTTGGGGGGCAGTCAGAGGATCCCACCGGAGAGTCTTCAGATGGCTGGGACAGGAATCTTGGGTCCTCGTTGCCTGAGGCGTGTGGTTTCATTCACTGCTCGTGCTTTTCAAAGCTCTATGGCTGCTGGAGAGTCATACACACGTCACAGTTTGATTTCCAGCCAAGCCATTGCAATCTTCACTTCCTGTAGGTTAAGGTAGATGTTGGTGTGTTTTTTCACAGCGGGGTTTCATTTTGCCTCAGTGTGTTAAGGGTGTTTGTATGAGTCGGGAACACAGCTCTTGGGCTCCAGAGCTGGCCAGAAGTGGAGCCCAGTTCCTCGGGGTCACTGCTAGTTAATGGGGCTCACGGTGCTGTTTGGCTCAGAAAGCAGGTGCAACTCCAAATACCAGGCGTCTCTGGGCTGCCAATAGCCCACTAGTAATCGTATGTGCAGCAGGAGTTCTAGTGTCAGTGACGCACACAGGTGTTTTAAGAAACCTGCCTGATATGCAGAGCAATGATGCTGAAGGGTTTCCAAGCTGCCCTTCTGTTTTGTGTGGGTAAAAACAGCACATGGAACCGGCTCCTGTCCGAAGCCAGACTGAGCCGTGTGCACACACACTGGGCTGAGGAGCAGGCTGAGAGTCACCTGGCGGTACGGCCCCCACCCTCCGCAGGTCACGCGGCGGCGATTTTCCACACAGGCTGGACACGTGTGCCGCACCGGCAGCACACAGTGAATCCCCTTGCGGGGCCAGCGCTGTGAGGGCAGAGGTGTGAAGTCTTGATGACACGTGTGTGACTTTCAGTTTGCACAACACCGAGCTCTGATGCTTCCACTGCTGAAAGGGGAATGCCTACAAGAGGTGTGAAGATTTTTTCTACACCTGTTTTTTTCTATTTAAGTGGAAGTCGGACACCACTTCCTGCAAATACTGCGCAGATAACTTGTGTTGTTCCAGCACGCCGCTGTCCTCGGGAGCCTTGGTCCAGTTTGTCTTGTAGCTCATCCTGAATCACTTGTTTTTAAGCAAGCAGCCTGTTCCTGTTCCTGGGCCTCCGTGATGGAAGGGCCTTCAGAATTTGTTTCCCAATAATTGCCAAATTGGTTAATTAAGAAGCTGCTGCAGAAACTGCCCCAGATCTTTAGAGTTTGCAGATGTAAACGCAGATGGGTGCCTATAAAAACCTGCTGGACAAGTGCTCTCCGGGACCAGGGCTGCAGACCCTACAGAGGGCCGGCCAGTGAGTGACGGAGCCCTGGGCTGTGTCCCGGGTTCGAGCCTCAGCAGATGCTGTGTTCATCCTGTACCCCTGTGCTTCCTCTCTCTCTGGGTGTGAGCTGCATAGCAATAAACGTATAGCAGTAGTACCACTGGCTCGCTGTAGAATACACTCTGTCTGACTGTCGAAACACCATGCCCAGAGCTCTGTCTGTTCAAACGCGCCTTTCTCCGCTCTCCCTCCTCGTACCTGCGTCTCCTCTTTGTTTCTCTCCCCCTGTATGCCTGCGGCCCTCTCTCTGGGCAGCTCTCCAGTCACAGGCCCAGAGCTCGCCTTCGGAGTTTATATTCGGAACGGCACCGGCAGCTGACAGCATTTTTTTAATGGTCTGTTCAACGGGTCACCCCTTAATTTCTGTTGTCATTTGCGCAAAATAATTAAAAAAAAAAAACATGTGAGGGAGAAGACGAAAGCTTAAAAAGCAGAGAGAGCAGCGTCACGTCTGAAGAGCGCTGAAGCGAAGCTCCAATAGAACGAGGAGCTGGGCCCAGGCCTGAGTGACTGGAGGGGCTCTGGGATTTCCCATGAGCCACTCTCCTGCTGCACACTCGCACGGGCAGGCCGTGACCTTTAAAACCTCCAGCCAGCCACACCACAGGCCAGCAGGAGCTGCCCCGGCGCGGGGCTGTTTTCAGTCTGAGTGCCTGTGAGTGCCCCAGAGACAACACGCCAGTGAGGCTTACTGGAACTGCCCGTCCACAGCCAGAGAGAAGCAAGGCAGCACTGAGTCACTGCAAAATTCCCTGCCTTCATGCCATCTCCCTACATCTCCCTCTCTCTGCTTGGCCTTTTTTCATTTATGAGTGTAAAAAAAAAACTATAAACTCTGGAGCTAGAACCTCGGTGTCTCTGCTACTGTTCTCGATCACCTTGTCAATATGACGTCCCGCCCTGTGACTGAGCATGTTCACAGCTGTCCCTCACATCCACATCACGGTTCACTAAGACACTGACTCTGGACCTCAGTGGTGCTCAAACCCAACACCTGGTCCTGGGTCGGACCAGGAGGCTGGTCCCTAGTTCTCTGTTCTCTAGCTCGTCTCACAGAGCAGGTGGAGAAGCTGTGGTTTAGGCCAGCTACCTTTTACAACCGGAATCTCCGCCAGCCCAGTTCCTCAGGGTCACAGCTAGTGAGTGGAGCTCACAGCTACAAAACAGGCAGAGCACCAAGGACCAGGTGCGGAGTATTTGTGAGCTTCTCTCCAAAGACCATGTGGCATCTGCCCCCAGTGGTTTAATTACAATGTTATTACACAGGCTTGTGTTATAATCCGATAATTACACAACCAGTTTAGAATCTCTATTACAACTGACGCAGAGCGAGCACAGTTCTTGCAGTGTCACAGAGCACGAGCAGGCTGTGCTGTGAAAGCTGTGAAATAACCATTGTAAAAGAACAGCTCTATAGCGATACTGGTTTCCTCTGAAAAGATGTTTTGCTCAGCTTTTTTGAAGTTCAAAACCAGGAGTGAAACATCTTTGCTCCTGATCTCAAAGATGGTCAAAGGCGATAACATTTCAGGAGCTTCACGGCCAGCACAGAGATTGATGTGGCTGTTTAAAGGCTTTTTCTACATCTACACAAGTTCCTGAAAGGGACCACAGTGCAGGTCTTGAACTTGGAGTCAGAGGAGTGCTGAGATTCTATTGCATACAAGTGTAAATATTTCAATCACGGAGTGAGTATCCTCAGCTCTGCAGTTAACAATCACTACTGTTGATTAAATACCACCTATATTTCAGTAGAATAAACCAAAGAGAAATGTCGTTTACATTTATATTCATTTCAGAGATGCTAAGCATCCGTAATTGACTATGTTTTATGTGTAATAATTAATAGTTACATTCGCAGGTACATTTTTAATTGACATTACCACCTGGTCTCTGTATTAATTAAGGTTTTTTCTCAGTTCTCCAATGTTCAATGCTGCTCGTCACCCTGTCACCAGCATCCCTACAATCAGGCAGCATCGTGCTGTGGGGAGGCTTCTCCCCAGCAGGGACTGGAAAGCCTGTCAGGACTGAATGGATGAAGCACAGTAGAGGCCAACACTAGAGGGGAGCCTATAGTTTCATTCTGCTGAAGTCTTCAAACTGGGGTGAAAATTCACCGCCCAGCAGGACAAGGCCAAAGCTGCAGTGCAGGGGCTGGAAAGCAAGAAAGTGAATGTTTTGGAGCGGACCACTCAAAGCCCATCTGACTTGATTCCTACTGAGGATCTGTGGAAAGACAGAAGGACTGCTGACCCTAAGCAGCCCAAGAGAGCTGCAGCAAATCTGCCACAGAGAAAGGAAACAATTGCACCACGTCTGTGTAAAAAACTCTTTAAAAAATCTTTACCAGAAAATGTAAAGTTGTAATTGCTGCCAAAGGTACTTCCACCACATATTGAGCTCACAGGTTTGTATACTTATGCAAACAATACATTTCAGTATTTTCTCTTTAGTTATTCTTCAAGGATTTCCATTTGAGCATCCAAGTTTTGAAGAAAATATTGCATACGTATACGTATAATACGCCTATTGAACAGTTTTCGAGGCCCTGTATATATTTTAAAGCATCACTTCTCGCTCTGCTGTACAATGTGTTTAAGAGCATGCGGTCGCTACAGTATGAATGATGGGAAGGAGCCCGTAGTCTGAAGTGCTGCTGCTCGTGATTGAGAAGGGTGAGTTTCCGCTGTCTCGGCGGCCGTGGCTTCGACTGCATTGCTTGGGCCAGTAATCAGCACCAGCCCTGGGGCGGGAACAGGGCCTGAACCACGCCGATGCGTCCGGCTTGCACTGCGCTCTGCGCTCTCGACCCAAGACAGGGCTGCCAGGCCCGCGTCCTGCTCCTGCAGCTCACCGGACCCCTCCTCCCCTCGCCCAGTTTTTCACTCCTTCTCCTGTCTCGGAAGGCAACTGTGCCAGAACAACAAAGCGAGAAAGGCGCGATATTTCTGAGCCCGGGGCGGCCGCTCCCCGCGCAGGGCCCAGGCCGGCTTCACTCCAGCTCGGGCTTGCCCGGCAGGCTGGGCTTGGCGCTGTTCTCCTGAACGGGCCGGTCCCCGCGCTCCTCCTCTGACAGCGGACAGATGCTGGGCTCTTCCAGCAGTGTGCCCAGGCCCAGAGGGTGTGTCACTGCCGGGGAAAGACGCTCAGTAAGGATCGCACCTTCGCTGGCCGCGGCCTGCACCTCACTGCCTCCATCTCTACAGGCCTCCCCCTTGGAGTGGACCTGAGGCCTGGATACTTCCAGCTCCCACAGGGGGGGGTCAGGGAAGGGAGTGGCTCACCACAGACCATCGGAGACTCACCTCCACAAGGTCACCCAGGACAGTCCAGATCCAGCTCCAATGCCTGGACACTGCAGCCTCGTTTTCACACTAAGAGAACCATCTCATTCAGTTTCCTTTCTTTAACCTGTCAAGCAGGAAATGAAATGCACTCCCTTTGACTTGCCAGGGGTAGGGAGGGAGTCACTGGGGTGATCAGCTCTGTCTGTGAGCGCAGTTAGAACTTTCACTGTCGCCAGGACGACACACAGCTCTCTATTTCTGTCAGTGCTAATGTCAAGAGTTTTCCATCACAAGGTTTGAGTAACCTGACAACTGGTTTTATTTGATTCTGATCTAAGCTTTGAGTCACATATTAAAAAAATACTTAGCCCACTTAACTATTCTTAGAAACACTGCATTGTTAAAATTAGAGCATGTTCTAATTCATTGCCTTCTCAGCATCAGTCACAGAAGAAATGCTCTGATTGTAGCGGTCTGGGGCTACTTGGCCATATCTTTGTATCATCCAGGCTGGGCTTCCTGCCACCTGTTCTGTGGCTTTCTCTGCGTGCTCCATACACGTGCCCAGCCTACCATGTCACCCTCACCAGTTTCACCCCACAGCTCAGAGAGCCCCAGGAAAGCAAGAACTTGTAGGACTCACTGGATCTGATCAGGGAATTCTGCCTCCGGAATTTCGCTCTCCAGATGCAGACGTTGGTGAAGATGACCGTGAAAATCAAGCCGAACAGAGCAGAGACGATCACCAGGACAGTCAGCAGCTGAGGGAAACTGGCCACCACTGGAAAACACATATGGCGCAGAAATAACTTGGGGCTGATCCTAGACTGCCAGGGGCTGTGAAGATCACCCCTGAAGGCCGCACTTTGTGCTGATTACTAGGTGGAAGCAAGAAAAGGGACTGGATGGATTGGATGGATCTATCATGTGTGGCCACATGTGTCATGTGTGTATCACGCATGTTACCATCATGTGTAACGGTCTTTAAAACCCAAGATCACGTTCACCCCTAAGCTCTGCTCTTGGGTGTATCCATATCGTATCATGAAACAAGTGGATGTTCTGGTAATGATGCCTTTCTCGTTTCAGAAAGTTAACTGTCCGTGCGGGCAGGGCAAGGAGCTTTGCCAGATGGCTGCAGGAAGGCCTGTTTCTGGTCTTGAAAGTCATCAGAATGGCCTTCAGTGAGCGTGAGGCTGGCCGAACGGTGCTGCTCAGAGAGCAGGGGGAATTCTCGGCACCCCAAGTTTCTCGCCCTACATACTGCCGTGGGCTGAACAACATAGAAACCTTCTGGAACTTCTGGAGCAGGGGTCCCAAACTCTGGGGACTGGGGAACCCCTGCGTCTCACAGATTCTGTTCCAGCCATCTTCATCATTGGCTAATGCCTTCATCATTTCATCATTGGCTAATTTTCTACATGGGGCACACAGCTCTTAAGATTTGAGTGGGATCGGTCATTTGTCTCTTGAAATGTAACCAACTGGACCACAGCCGGAGGGAGAGAAGCTCACTGCGGCCGTGACACTCTCCTCTCTGTGTCTGTTCGTCGGCAACTGATCACCGGCAGAACTCCGGCAGAAATAAGTCAACAAGATGGGAAGAGCTTGAACACAGTTCTGAATGCCAAACTTCCCCGAAGTATCCTTGACGTGGTGTTTTTTTAATCTATGGACTGATTGCAAAAACAGATAAACAAAACTGTAAACAAGCAAGCAGATCACTTAGAGCCATCAATGAGGAAGGGACGCTTGCTGACAGAGTCCCCAGACCACAGCAGGCAAAACAGCTCTAAATCTGTGATGGGAAATTTGTGTCTGGGCAGACAATTGGAAAAACCCAATCAGCCAACGAGACAGTTATTCATATCTCATACTCGCTTAAAAAGTACATTCAGAAATAGCTCCCTAAAGATGTATGAACAGTTTGAGCTCACCTTGTGATGCACACTTTACGTTGTGGGTGTGGTTGCCGGGTGAAACTGGCTTCAGACCGATGCTGTGACACCTAACACACAGAGACACGCAATCCAACACCGTGTTAATGAGTCACAGAGACACAAACACAAACTGACCCTTTAATCATTCCAATCCCAAATTACACAACTCATTTTTCACCTCTCTAGGAAAGGTCTGCAAACTGGTATTCTGACTCACAAACAATCAGATATACGGATGGACTTGCTGGAATGGTTTGACAACAAGCACAGCTTCTACCAATTCTGCTTTGTGGATACTTTGTCGAGGCAAACAGGCACAAACGTGCTTATGCTTTGAATATTCTAGAAGGGTCGTAGCATATATCTGGCATATCTCCCATAATTTAGAGTGCATGGTCTGCCTGTCTGCCTTGGGACTGTGCTCACGCGCTGCCTGGTTTTCCTCAGCGCTGTCCCGGAAACAGATAGCGAACTGCGAGGCTTACTCACTCTGTCCAGGGCTTGCAGGGTCCTCCTTCAGTGTCAGAATAGGTGCCACGTGTGCAGTTTTCACATTCATATCGGAATTCGAAAGAGCCTGCAGCGAAGCCGTGAGGTTCCATCGGCCACCATATTGAACAAAAGCAATAACACTTCATTTAGACCAAGACAGAGGCACCGCTGTATGAATCCAGCAGCTATTGACGAAGTCAGCCCGCGGCACTGCCTCAGGCTCAGCGGCGACGCCTGTACAGCTGTGGACGGGCGCAGCCGCGCCGGCGGTGATCTGTCGGGACCCAGGTGCAGGAGGCCGGCGAGGGAGAAGTGAAGGTGATTATGGGAATGAATCAGTGGCTGGCAGGGAGGAAGGTCGATCCTGCCCGAGGCCGGGTGAGAGGAAAGGCTGCTGAATACAACCCGTCAGAGAGGGGGCCTCGGCTACAGAGGGGCCCCCTGGAAAAGGACCTGAAGGGGCTTAGAAAGGCAGCCCTCAAAAAGACCAGGGGCGCAGATCGGCCAACTCGAGGCTCAAGGCGGCGAGCGGGGAAAAGAGAAGATTCAAGGTGAGGCTGGAGAGCGCGAGGGGGCGGGCTAGGAGCCGGGCCGCCGGGCCGCCGGGGGGAAAACCGGGAGTCTTGTGTAGAGGAGGAACCGAACTGCACGCTTCCTGGGAAAGGAGCCTCCGACACAGCTGTGCTGAGCGAGGGCCTGCTGTGTGCCTGGGCGACGGCGGATTGGAAGACACTGCGCGGAGCAAAAACAGGGAGGGAGGCTCGGGTACGGAGGCACCTTCAGGGGCTGCGACATACAGCAAGGGCAGTCTGGACTGAGCTCAGAGGAAGCCAACTTAGAGAGTGAGACAGAAGTACAAGTCAAGAGGCCAAAAATGACACTTTCTATGGTGTTCCTGTCTCCAGTGCAGTATAGCTCAGAAAAGGACAAGACCACAATAGAAATGGATCTCCAGGACCAAGGCTGGGGATCTGTAATTTAGGGTGACCTATAAGACTAATCTGTAAGACCAATAAAGCCTAGAGTCTGCCTCTCCACTGAGCCATTATGCAAAAAGAGAGTTTCAGGTCTGCTGAAGAAGACAGCTGTTGGTTGGCTCAGATGTGCTCTTCCTAACAAGGTTCTTTGCAGCTGATTTCCAAAATAATGAAACAATACTAAGCAATGTTCTTCCTGGCAAACACGTCCTGAGCCTTTTGCGAGCAGTGGGCTCTGCCCTCGTCTCCTCCAGCGCCCGCCCGGCGGGAGAGGGACTCACCGTGTGTGCGCAGCTCCTGGCCCCGGCCGCACCTCTTGGTCCAGACACACTGCTCGCAGGTGTCCGATGTGCAGCTGTACCCCTCTCTACACCCGCACACCGCGTCCGTCGTGGAGCCGCACTGCCTGACCACCACTTCAACGGGAGAGACGAGCCAGACGTCAGCCGCGCTCGCTCGGGGAGGGGTGCTCCTTCCAGACCCCGGGGTGACCCCAGCCCTTGCCCAGGGGGACACTGTGGCTTGGGGTCACAGCCCGAGACATTCTGGAAGAAAAGTCCTTCCCCAGGAGCATGGAAAAACAGGAAACTAAGAGCAGCTGAGAAACTCCAGGACAAACACGTTTGTGTACATGAACATATATGTGCAATATCCCCTACATGTGCTTTATCCCATACATGCATTATCCTATTCATGTGCTTACCCCAGTACTACATATGTAATACAAACATTTACCTTGACTGCACACTCGACAGGAAAGGCATTCTTTATTGATGTCCCATGTATAAGAGTATTTGCCTTGTTCACAGGGATTGCAAACAGTTCCCTCTGACTTGCTGCACTCTTTCTTTAGGTAGTGACCTGCAACAGTTGAAAAAGTTGTAACATGAGTAGCAGTTCCTGCACCAGTTCTACTCTCCCACAGAGCCCCTTCCTTCCGCTGTGCTCCAGTCAGTGACATCCCAGCCACCTGAACGCTGAGCAGCTCTGAAGCCCAGAAACTGGTACAGAATATACTGGCCTGTTTTCCCTATATGCCCTAAAGAAAAAGCTGCCATCAATCCGCCTGTGATCTGGGAGCAGGGCTGTGGACAGACAGGTGACCAGTGGTGACCTGTGCAATGCAGCACCGTTTCCAGTGCTTTCGATCCCATAACAACAATGACGTCTCCGGCTCCCTAGGCTGGCAGTGAGGAGTGGGCAGTGAGAGGTCCTTACCTGGTGGGCACATGTCACAGCACCTGCCCTTGTGAGTGTACTGGCGCTCCAGGCTGCATCGGAGCTCCAGTGCGAGGGGTAGCCGCACGGCCAGGAGGAGGAGGCAGGCTGCTGCTGACAGCTTCAAAGTCAGACCCATCTGCGCTGCGCTGAAACAGCCTCTGCTGCTGTGGCTTTCCTTAAATGTAGTTTCCACAGTGACGTCAGGCTTGGGGGTTTTTCTAATGAAGCTGTTGACTCTTGTCTTTTTTTTCTGAGCCTGCTCTGTTGCTCTGTTGTCCTGGGAGACAGGAAAGCAGGAGACCTCTGCCCGGACACACTGACCTCCGAGAATTTCCTCTCCCGGTGGGCAACAGGCTGGCCTCTCTGCCCCCAGCCACTTTCTACTGCAGCCCAGGACGCTCTGCTCAAGAGCAAACCTTCGACAGCCGGGAAACCCCTGCAGCTGTCCGGGCAGAAGGGCAGACGGGAGACGGGAGACAGACAGGTACAGGAGCAGGACACTCGCCTAGCTGCTCATGTTTCAGTCCCCACTCAGTCGTGTCACTCTTCCTCTCCCCCTCGCCCACGTTCCACATTCTGGGGGTGGGGGGGAGTGAGACAATCTCTTCTGTGGGGCTTGGGGGGCAGTGTGTCACTCACCTCAGTCCCCACCCCCAGCGAGCAGCAGGCCTGCAGGCTCCCGTGGCACCACACACCCTCACATGAAGAACAGGCCCCTTCCTCCCCTGCAGCTCCTCTGTGGGCACACAGACGTCAGGTCGCGACTGGCACTGGCCTTCCCCACATCGGACCTGAGCCAATCAGGGCCCAGAGATCGTTTGCTAATTCATCTTAGCTGGAAAGGCAAGAACTGCCCTCCCTTCAGAAACAGCACAGCAGTGAAACCCAGCAGCCCAGCAGGTTTGCTACAACTCCCTTTGGTGCTTTCGTCCCCGAGATACAGCGCCTTACTTCTCGTGGTGTGACGTCACGTGACTCCCCAACAAAAGAAGGCACTATATCTCACGCACGAAAGCGGCACAACCGCTACTTTCAACGGCTCAAATTCCAACTTCCAGCTTCGTGGAGCTCAGGAGTCATGAGCGGAACCGGACTCTCAGACTCATGTGAGCTGTGCTTCAGCTGCGAGCACTCAAAGCCCGCAGCACCCTGTGTACAGCAGGCCCACGCTGTCCTGAGGCTCTGCTCGCTGTGTGGGCGCAGACGAGCGGGAGGAAACGACAGTAACGGCCACACGACGACGCACGTCACTTCTGACATCAGCCCGGGCCAACAGAAGCCAGCAGCAGGCAGTGGTTTCATGTAGGTGTGTCACAGACGAAAACAAAGAAATGTCAGCGCTGCCTTCAGACACAGGTCGAACCCTGGCCACTACTGCCACACCTCCTCGGACATCCTTTGGAAAAATCCAGTGTGGTACAAGCAAGGTAAAAGCAGAGTCAAGGTTCATATGGTGCAGTAAAATCAAGGCTAAAGCACTTCAGATCTGGTCAGAAGCGCAGAGGCCCGTCGGGCTGGGCTGGACCAGGCTCCGGCTCGTCCGGTGGACTGCAAGCAGGTCCCCCATAGAATGCGGGGTCCCCCCTCGTCCTGTCCTAGCTGGGTGCTGCAGAGCCTCCTGGTCAAGGACACGGGCGCAGTGCCCACGGGGGATTCCCACCCACACCAGCCCACCGCTGAGCCGGCCTGACTGCCCGGCACAAGCCTGGAAACCCGCAGGAAACGTGCCGAAGATTCCCGTGGCGCCCGGCCCTGCTGCTCGCTGGGGGGGCGGGGGAGGAGCGCGATGCGGTCCGGATCCGATCTCACTCAGACAGCCGGGTTGCTGCTGCAGGTGTTGCTGGTGGACCTGTAGGTGACACTTTGACTGTAAACATGCTGGCTGGGACTGGTGCGTCCCGGGAGCTGGCTGTCTGTAAGAATCTCGGCTCACCTCCGCCCTGGTTTGCACACTTCTTCTCTCTACAGCCCCCCCTCACGTCACCCTCCCTCCTGCCCCCGGCCTGCGTGCCCACCCTCAGTGGGTCCGGCTCCTGCACACAGAGCACTCTGGCATGAAACAGCTGTGGAAACGCAATAAATTCTTCTTCTTGTTATTAAAAGCTTCCAGGTTCCAAAAGACCCTCCACAATACAAACACTCTGCCTCCACAGGACATGACTGACAGAATAAACAGAAAACCAACATATCTGAAAGGCCAAAAAGTCAGCTTCACTAAGAGATAAGATGAGATCCCTTTATTGGCCATATACAATTTCTTGACAGACAGGGAGAGAAGCTGGGGGTCAGAGCCCAGGGTCAGCCATTTATACAGCACCCCTGGAGCAGTCAGGGTGAAGGGCCTTGCTCAGGGGCCCAGTGGAGTAGGATTCCTCTGCCAGCCACGGGTGAGTGCAGACTAAGAGGTGCCAGCAGGGGGCACTATTACAGATTAATCTGGATGCTGATTAAATTCGAAGCTCCTGTTTATACAGTCAGGTATTTTACTGCAGTGGGTCAGATGAAGGACATTGCTCAAGGGGATAACAGCAGTGTCTGACTTGGCATTCGAACCCACAGCCTTGTGGTTGTGAGCTCACAGCCCTGCCCAGTGCTTCACACTGCCATCCAGACCCAGGGCGGCTCTGGGACTCTTCAGCAGACTGAGTCTGTCTCCTCTGTGGCTCCTACGCTGCTGTGCTCTTCGCTGTGCCGGTAAGTCGGGTTAAATGTCAGCTGATGATTCCAGACAGGGATAAAGGGGGATAAGCAAATCTTAATTTTAATTTTCAGCTTTTCCTCATTTAAGAACCGAGTAGAAGGCACGAGCAATCACACGAACAGTAACCACCTTGCAAGAGACAAAAGTGCAGGCCAGATTTTCTACACCAGACTCGAAGAGAGAAGACTGTGGTTGGGCAATCCTACACCAAGGACAGACAGACGGCCCAGGGGAATTCGCCACACAGGGGGCTCAGGTGAGATCGTCTCGCATCCTCGTCCTTCCTTGTGTCCCGAGAGCGTCAGCCCTGCAGGGCTGATACCAAGAGCGAAGCAGCCAGTCAGCAGAACTCGAGACATGCATGTGCAGGGCCTTCGCTGTGAAGGCTTGCTGAGTCTCATCTGTAACCACCAAACACCACAACGAGAACTTTCCTGCGCTTTCAGGTAAGTCACTGAGAGATGGCAGGAAAGGCTGATCAGCTCTGAGTTTCTAGAAACTGGCCTTCAGGGTTTCCCCCAGTCCAGGGCTGACGGCGCTCAGAGAGGCAGCTCTCACCACCACCAAGAGTTCTGCGAAAAGGGAGCCCTTTCCACCGTGATGATTTTATGAAGAAAAAGGTTTATCAAAGTTTAAAAGGGCACCAAAAACAGAAAAGAAAACATAGAAGTGTTGTGCACAGTTCGGAGGTTTCGCTATGAAGTCAAAGATGATCAGAGACCAGCCGGCGAATGAGCGGGATGGAGCCCACTGCACTGGGGTCAGACACGCAGGAGCAGGAGTACAGCAGCAGTGAAGCCCAGTGAATTCACAGTCAAGCCCCATCAGGGCTAGAGGAAGGGTTGAGGCCTAGTGACAAAGCAGCCACGCAGGACAGAGCCACCCCCTGAGACAAAGGACACCACATAGGAACACATGTTGGACACGTACAAGACTCTGCATCATGTACCGGACACGTACAAGACTCTACATCATGTACCGAACACGTACAAGACTCTACATCATGTACCAGACACGTACAATACACTGCATCACGTACCGGACATGTACAAGACTATATCATGTACCGGACATGTACAAAACTCTGTCAAGCCTTTCAGGCTGATTTGCATGAGCAGCTGAAGAAAATGTCCCCCGTCTTCTAGAGCAGACGTGTGAATCCACCCACATGACAGAGTTTGACCAGCACTGTGGCTTTCTTATTGATAACATATTGCCTGCAGAGTGTAGGCTGACGTGTGGTTTTCACTGTAGAGATGCTAGCTTATTGGAAATCATGCTCTGTGCTTTTTCTGCTCATCTACAAGAGTACCTGTGAAGAGTGCTTTCCAGGCAGAGGGTTTCCGAAGAGTGGAGATGATAGCAGCCACAGGCAGGGGGCGCTGGAGAGCTGCATCAGCAAACAGGGCAGTTGTGCCGTTGTCTCCAAGAGACACAGGTCAGCCTCAGTCTCCTGGCAGTGGGCAGTCGGCAGTATAGATTTTCCACTTCCACCAGCACGGGCCAGACTTGGGATTTTGTGAAGGAACAAGAGGATCAGGGCAACAGCAGGGTTAATCGACACCTGAGCCTGTCTGCAGGGAGCCTGCGATCTCTCCTTCTGTCGAGAGGTAGAGCCCAGAGCTCAGCCATGTCATCAGAATCCTATCTGTCCCAGGATCACGCTGCATCACCAGCTACTGGCGTGGCTGAGTCACGTCCCTGCCGTCACTGCGGCCTCACTTGTCACGTTAGAGGAGCCACAGGGAGCGTCACCCCCAGACAGTCCTGCCTATCAGGAAGCAGCCATGCTGGCCACTCCTCGGAACTGACGTCGAGGTTTCACAGGTGGTACTGCCACTAGCGATATACGCTGATTACCCGAAAGCAGAGGAGATTTCTCAGCCAGATTGCGTCCGTTTCCTAGACTGCCTGCGAACACCTGCACCTCTTCTTTTTTAATGTCAGGGGGTGCTTCGCAGATTCTGACAAAGAAGAATTGCAAATGCAGGTCCGCTGGATCCGCTCACACAGCAAGAGAAGATCCACAGGATCCACTGACACTGCAGGAGCAGATCCACAGGATCCGCTCACACTGCAAGAGCAGGTCCACAGGATCCACTGACACTGCA